ACTTTGGATCCTTTGTCTTGTAATTAGACCTTTTATTAGTTTCTTTTTCACTATAAAGTTTTTTTATTTAGTTATGTCAAAAATTGTCTTTTTGATTTTTTTTGTATTATTTATTTTAAGTTTTTTTTTTTTTTTTATTACTCTTTCTTTAAGCAACTAATTTTTTTTATTTTTGATAATGTTTCATACTTGTTGCAATTCTGATCATTTTGCTAGATAGTCTTGTATCTTGACTTTTTGCCAGCATATTTTGTTTATATTTTTTGTATAAAGATTTAGCTTTTTTGTATTTAAGACTTGTAGTATTAGAAAAAGACTATTTAGATATTTAATTTTGAAAAGTTATTTTTTGTTTTGCTCTATACTTCTGTAGTTTTTGCCTTTAACATGCTTTAGATCTTTCTAAATCTCTCTCTATACAACTATTTCTGTTTTATATTCTGTATCAATTTATTTTCTAATACTTTTAAGATTCTTTTACTCTATGTTAATATTTATCTTTGTTAACTGTATAACAAGAGGAGTAACAAAAATCAGGTGATTTTTTAGAGGGGAAGAGAAATAAAAAAAGTTAAAATTATATATAAAAACCTGATCATATATATAATAAAAAAAGAGAAAAAACGGTATATCTCTGATAAAAAAAAAATTAGGTAATAAATAATACTGCTCCAAGGCTTTATGTTGTATCATCTACTTTTAAATCTTTCTATTTAAGTTCTGTTATCAAGTGTTTATTTCATAGCTAGCTTGGGCTTATTTGTATTATACTGCTAGCCTTATTTTAGCAAACTTGTTTGCTTCATTATTTTTCTATATGCTACTATATACTTTAATATTTTTTAGTTAGAGTTTTAATTTTTTTATTTTAATTGTTTTTCAAATTTGTTCAAGAAGGTATAGGTTTTTCTTTTTAGATATAATACTTATCTTGCTTCTATTTAAACTTGCTTGTATTGCTTAGATTGCAGCTATACTGTTGGTATTAATCTTAATATTAGCTTTGTATAGAGCTATTAACAAAGCTGTCTATATTGCTTTAAGTTTAGCTCTTGTTGATAATAACTAGTCTTGAATTATACTAAAGAAATAGGCTATTATTTTTTTGTCTAGTTTGTTTTTTTTTTAAAAAGATAGCTACCCACCCAAGTTCTATTTTTCTCTTCTTTAGTTTCTTATTTAGGCTATATAGAGAACTATCTATATCATATTTAATTTTTTTCTTTCTCTTTAACTATACTACTATTCTTTTAATTTTTTTTGCAATATAAGAATTTTCTAAAGCCTAGTTTATTAATTTTTCTTCTAAGAGGAGAATAACAATACTCTCTATTAAAAACTTTTCTGATATATTTGTATTATTTGCTTCTCTTGTATTTTTGTAATCTATATTTGTGAAATAGCTTATCAAAATAGTGTGAATTTATGCTACTACTTTTGAATTCTCTTTTCTTATTAGTTTGGAGTTAATTATTGTGAGATTCTGTTTCTAGATTCTTCTTTTGCATATAACTTCTGTTATTAACTCTTTTGTTGTATCTAGACTATATTTTTTATATCTTGCAAATAAAATTATATTTTCTTTTGAGTTAAAAGTAAATATCCAGTGTTCAGTTATAACTATCTTTTTTCTTTTTTTTTAATTATTTTTTTTACTTCAATACTATTATTAGTACTAATTAGTATCTATTTTCTTTTTTTTATATTATAACTTATTGTAAAAACATTTATACAAAAAAATAAATAATTAGATAATTCTTTTTTTAATATTTCTTTAATTTTTCTAGCTTCTAGATTTTTGAGATACTCCTTTTTGATTTCTTTGAGCCAGAGTGGTATTTTGCTAGTTGTTTTTTGTTTTTTATATTTTTTTAATCTAATTTTATATAAGTAAGTTCTTACTATTTGCTTTTAATATTTGTTTAAGAACAAAGAAGCCTATTTTTTTTTCTTGTAAAAAGCTTTGTATTTCTTTTTTCTCTAGAAAATTTGTAATTTCCTATCTTGAGACAATAAGTTTTCAACTATCTTCCTTTTTTTTGAATCAGATACTTAAATTTAATTCTTTGGCTACTACTATGATATTATTAGGGTTTAAATTGAGTTGAAAATTTAAAACCATCAACTATCAAATCAAAATCAGTTATCAACTAGTTATCCAAAACTAAAACCAGATCTTTAATTAAACCAAATAATATAAATAATTGATAAGAATGGATGATACAGATATCTAATTAGAAGGTGGTCTTCATAGGCAGATTTTTATATGATTGGCTGTTTAAATTAATTTAATTTTATATTATTTATATAGTAGTTTAAAGTATTTTTTAAAAAAAATAAAAATACTATAAATAAACAAAAAAGAAGTATATAAAAAGTTTTATTAAAGTTGTAGAACTCCACTATTAAAAATAATCTAAATTCTTTTTTGTTTTAGAGAAGTTAGTATAATAGTGACTTCTTAACAATAGATAGAATTAGGTTATCACCATTCTATTTTCTCTAAAACAAAAAAGAATTTAGATTATTTTTAATAGTGGAGTTCTACAATCTTAATAAAACTTTTTATATACTTTTTTTTTTTTTTTTTTTTTTTTAAGAGAGGTTTTTCCTCTATTCCTTTATTTCAAAATATATAATATAGATACAACTTGTATTAATTTATATATTTAGTGAAAGAGAGTAGAAGTTAGGGCTAACATTTACTCTCAACCTATTCTTAGCTAGAATAGTTGGAAAACCTCTAGACGATGTAATTTAAAATGAGAGATATTGAATTGTAGTAAATAAAATCATTAAACTATAAGTAAAATTTTCTATCTATTAAGTAAAGAGGAGTATTGTTTTGGTAAGATGTAATTATAATTATTGAGTTTGGGGTATTTTGTTGTATCCATTTTTGGTTTGGTTTCCAAATTTCTTCGTGTATATTCTTAGTATTCATATAATAGAATAGCTTAGCGAAAGATGTAGAGTATAAATTTGTCAGATTATATCTGGTAGGCAGTAAGCCAGTTTGCAAATTTTCATTTATAGTAGTGGAGAATAATTGTCTAGAATATCCCAGCGGAGGTCTGGTAGATTGGAAAGATTAAGAAGATAAGAAGGAATGTCTTGAAAATTAAAGTGGTTTTGTAGTTCTGCGATAGTGCTTTTGATTTTTTCTTATTTAGTAATTGGGATGTGAATTGTGTGATAAAGATTTGTTTACTCAAGGTAGGAAATAATTTCTAAAATTTGAAATAGGAGTGAAAGTTTTTCTGAAGTATTCAGAGTAATCTAGATTTCAATTTACTTGCTTGGAATTTGGTAGAAGAAGTAGTATTCTCTTAAAAGTCAGGCGGTATCAACTAGAGCTTTGGGGCTTTTGATTGGTATTGTTAGATTTATTTCAGTAATAAAGATATGTTCATTAGGGAGTGAAGGTTTATTTGTAGGATTAACAGTTATATAGGTGGGTAGAAGTGGGATATTAAATTTATATTTGTCTTGGATTTCTGCTACAAATTCTTTAGCTTGGTGAGTATTAGAGATAGAAAAGTTGTAAATTATAGTCATCTTAATAGTATATAAATCTACTAGAAGTAGTTTCTTTTGTATAAAGAAGTCATTAGGAATATAACGAAAGCTATAGTGTTCTCCAAAGATATCGACATATTTATGAAATTCTGAAGCATCAGTTGGATTATAAAAAAACAGATGGCAAATAGCTGAGATAAGGTTTTGAGAAGTTGATGGAAGTCTGGGTTTTGCTTCTAGTAAATTAAAGTAATTGGAGGAAATTCTTTCTATTATGTATAGTGCAGACAACCTAGTCTTGACAAATAAAATTTTCTAATAGCCAAATTTGAAATCTTATATAATATGGCCAAATTTAATATTTTTATTATATGTGGCCAAATTCAATATTTTTATTATATATAGCCAAATTTGATATTTTCATTATATATAGCCAAATTCAATATTTTCATTATACATATATGCCAAATTCGATATTTTCATTATATACGCCAAATTTATTTTATATGTATAATAATGATACCAAGAATATAAATATTGCTAGAGGAATGAAAATTCAAGAATTTTTTATAACTTACTGGATCTAATCCCTGAAAATATTTAATCAGTAATATATAACAAGTAATTGCTTATTAGACTTTTTTCAAAGTTTAAGGCCAATAAGTTAAAACAAAAAATATCTTATTTTCTCCTTAAAGTTATATATACAACACATCAATATTAATTTTGGCAAATTTGAATTGAATATAGAGTAGCTACTAGACTAGAGATCGTCCATAACCAGTTACGAAATAAGCTTTAACTTAAGCCATAACATCATTAGAACATTATTGGAATATCATTAAGACGATTTGCCTGCACCTCTACACTAGACATTAAATAATAAACTATTTTTTCTGAAATCTCTATAAACAATAACATAATTCCAAGCATATTAATATACTTTAAATATTAAAATTCTAATGCACATTTTATCTCCTTTTGTAATTTCTTACCTTATATTGGTTTATATTTAATCACAACACTTTGAAATGCCTGAAAAAATACTTGAAAAAAGCATTATAGCTATTTTTCAATTGCTTTCTAATATGTTGGTTACACTGGTGACTTTGGCAATTACTAAAATATCCAGAATCTAACTTAAAATATAAAGTAATTTAAACCAGAATCAAATAACAAAAAAAAAAATAATAAAACTAAAATAAATGGAATCCTAAATAAGGTTGTATTAAGCATGTTCAGAAATTTGAATTCAGGAGAAAATGGCAATATTTATTGAAAGAAAAAAAAAACCCCCTACTACGCCATTCAAAAACCTGCTATATTAAATTTATAGAATTGTCTAACAATGTAACTAAAGATTAAAAAATAACTGTAAATAAATAATTACTAACAATCTGATTAAAATAGACTCCCTAAGTTTCTATGTAATAAAGTGATTTAAAAATTAAAATTATCTTAAGTAGTTGATTTGTAATAGTATGCCGTACCCAACAAGCAATCAAAAAAAATCAAAGAAAGCTTATGAGGCAAAGGCACATAAGCATAATATTGATGCTAATAATTCTGAAGCAGAAAATTCTGATAACTTTTTTTATGATGAGGTAGTTGAAAATAACAATGTTGCAAGTATTGTAAAAAGACTTCAAGCTGCAGCAAACAACTATTATAGCAATAATAATATGCTAGAAAATTATGATAATAAAGTCTTTTTGCTCATGATAAGCTAATTAAAATTGAAAATAATAATGATGAAGGCTTTGCAAAAAAACTTTTAAATGCAGCAAATACCTTTTATTGTAAAAGTGATTCTAACAAATCTCATAAGCCGTGTTACTTAGAAAACTCTATTCGTACTAAAAGAAGAAAGAGGCAACAACAGTATGAAGCAGCAAAAGGAATGCCTATATTGTTTACCTTTTGGAATCAAGACAAAACTGTTGAAAAAAATATTGAAGCAGAATTGTTTAACAATGGATGGCCAAACGAAGTTGATAAAGATGATACTGGAGGGCTATCAGAAGATGAGATTGAAACCTCTAATTGGCATAAAAGAACAAAACTGCACTTGAAAACATAGTACTAGATATCAAAAATGAAAATGTAAATAGTGAAGTTTGGGTGCATCTTAATAGTATTCACTTTTATTTTCAACTTATAAAGCACAATCATCAGAAAATGGGTTTTTTTTTTTTCTTTTAGTTCTTTCTTTATTGCTTTTTTTCTTGCTTTATATAAAACCTTGTAAACTAATA